TAAATTTTATATAAAAATCTTTTTCTTTAAAAATTCGTATTAAATTCATATGAATAAAAAATCAAATTACGATTAAATGCTTAATAAATTATAATAATAATTTCAATATTAATTATATATATATTATATATTATATTATATATATAATATAATTGCAAATAAACTATTTACCCGACGGTTGCTCTGCCGAAGCTCGATGCCTCTCCTAGCCTCCTCCTCCTCTCAGTCTTAATCGCGCGATACTTTTAGCGGCACTCCCGCACTCACGGCGATATTTTATATCGATATTTTCGCACTTTACGCGTGATACTGAACGCACTCCCCGTACTATTCGATACGATTAAAAATTTTCTGTTTTGTCGCGCGATGTATATATTTAATATATATATACTTTAAACGGCACTCCCCGTTTCGGTACGAGCGAAAATCCCGTTTCACTTTTACAAGAGTCATCTTCGAGTCAACAGGTCGGGAATTCAACGCATCTTACCTCCAAACAAGAGTTAAGTCCGAAACGGAAGAAAACTATCGATTGATGGAATCAACGCGAATGGAGTTCACTCGACTCTTGTCCGCGCCTAATATCCTATCTCAGACGGAACAAGAGAAGGGATCCATTAACGACGATTCCAAGCAATCGATCGAATCCTAACCGATCCGTACCGAACTGGAGCCAGAAGCAGAGCGTGACCTCAATCAGCCGGACTTTTGAGCAAAAGCTCAAAATCGCGCGCCCACATACACAGTACTGGCATCCGCATGCGCGCCGGCATCACCTAAGTGCCGCGTTGCACCAGGCGTGAGACAAAGATCGTTGCAGCAACGACTCAATGAACATCCCAGTTAATTGACGTCGGAAGATGACAACTCGATGACAAATAAATGAAATTGGGATTGCGAGAAAGTCCAACGCGAAAACGCGATGACGCGATGACGCGAAAAAGCTAAACGCGAAAACGCGGTAACGAGACGCCGCCATCCGCGACACGTTGACGGCACCGACGACGCGAAAGGGTACTTAGCTTCCTCTTCAGGCTCCTTGAGATTTATTCTAAATTAAAAAATTTAAAATAAACTTCAAGGCACCATCCAAGTACTAAGCCCTCCCACCGCGACAAGGTGTACCCCGTGGGAGGGTTATATTATATATAATTTTATATATAATATAATATATAATTAATAGATATATAATTATAAATCTTCTTAATAAAACTCAAAATAATTCATTTTGTAAAACTAATTATTACGCGTAATGAATTTGTTGTTTTCATTATTGATATCTATATGCAATACATGTATATTAATACGATTATAGTCGAAAGTTTAATATAATTAAAGTCATGATACAATAATCGTTTAATTAATAATTAATTTAAGAATATACGATGTATTTCGCACTACGATCTTTATTGCTCGAGTGTCGCTTTATGAATGATACGAAGGCCGTACGTTGTACGACTAGCGCGCTATGTTTACGTCAAGCCGAATGCCGTGTTATTGTTCGTTCGTCATATCAAAATATATTATATTATATTTTATATTACAATATAAGGTAATATAAATATGTTAACGTACGTAAGATATTTCGATGACAAACAGATAATAATATCAATCTTGGCGTAAACAATACATATTTTTATTATATTATATCATATTATATTATATTATATTATATTATATTTTACATATTTTAATACAGCAAATAATTTTTCGATATTGATCGCGATCGCGTCTAGAAAAGGATTTAACGGAGCGTCTTGTACTACTACTTTACTCTTTGAGTGTCATCCGCGAATGATAATAGAACCGAACAAATTAATTCAAAAGACCGTGTTATTATTATTTTTGTACCGAAACATTTTTCAAGACTATGGCATATAAACATAAGAAACATATACGACGTATTTCGCACTACGATCTTTATTGCTCGAGTGTCCCTTTGTGAATGAAAAACCGTATGACTAGCGCGCTATTGTTTACATCGTCAAGGCCGAACACCGTGTTATTGTTCGTCATATCGAAATATATTGTATTATATTATATTTTATTTTATATTATAATATAATATAATAAATACAGCAAATAATTTTTCGACATTGATCGCGATCGCGTCTAGAAAAGGATTTAACGGAGCGTCTTGTATACACTACTTTACTCTTTGAGTGTCGACGCGCGAATAATAATAGAACCGAAAAATTAGTCCGAAAGACCGTGTTATTATTATTTTTTTATCGAAACATTTTTCAAGACTATATAGCATATAAACATTAGCGCGCTATTACGGCACCAAGGTCGGTTATTGTTTGTTCATCATCGAAATATTTTACGTATTTTAATATATACATATATGTATATATGGAATATATTAAAGTATATAAAAGTATTTTAGATTACATAGATTTTTTAATTATAGGATTATTTATTAAAAGATTGATGTATGGAGTCTTTCATTATGTTTAGATTCATGATTCAATTATTTTATTGTGCGTTCTCACAATTCAAAATATTTCAATGATTGAAAAATAAAGCATCGCAGATATATTGTATTTGACTCTATAAATATCTATAAATGCTAAAGAAATAATTTCTGCTCGTAAAAATCGATTTCATATCGAAATAATAATTTATTATTTTAGATTTCTGTTACTATAATTCTTAGTTGATTAAATGAATAAATTACGATTAAATGCGATAGAGAATTTTTGTCGCGATTTGTATATAGATATTAATTATGTGTTATTTATAAAAGTTAATTAATCATATAGTTATAATAAATAATTTTCGGTGTTGATCGCGATCGCATCTAGAAAAGAAATTTAACGGCGTATCATTATATTACTCATTAAAAAATATTAGACAATAACATATAAAATTATATAAATATGAATAAATATGAAATTATATAAATCGTTTCATAATCGGCATGCAGATATTACAAATGCTATCTGCATCTGATTTATATAATTTTTCACATATCATTGTCTAATATTTTCGAATGTGTAATAATATTAATGTCACGTTGAAGGTAGATTAAAAGATAATCCGAAACGTTCGTATTTATTGTATGTATTGTGACGAGTAATTCGAAATATACTAATAATTTGAAATATATTAATAATTAAAAGAGAAAGGATTTTTCTTGTGCTCCAGTTATCGCGCTTTTTATTGGCTCTTAGTTATCAATTGTTTAGTTAATTTTTAATTATTATTATTTGAGCCAATTTTTTATTTTAATTTTAATACTTATATTATTTAATATTTAAAAATAATATTTAAAAATAAACTAGAATATTTTTTGTTATAATTTATTTTCAATGATGAACCGTTGTGATAAAGACTATATTAAATTACATATAATAATGGCGATGGTGGATAGATAATGTGTGATTATAATATATAATATAATATAATATCGGGTAATATATTTTAATAATCAATTATACTTGATAGATAGATAGATAGATAGATAGATAGATAGATAGATAAATACATAGAGAGAGAGAGAGAGATCACAAAACTTATTTATATTACAAATTTATTTAATATATACAAACGTTTTGCGTTACTTATGTTATCGACATTTCGTGTAGGAGGCATGGAATACAATCCGAAATTATGTTACCCATTGAAAACATTCGTAGATTTGACTACGTAGTTCATGTTTATATTTTTTTGTTTATAGGATGCATTGCTTTCAGAGATCGCCTAAAAGCAGACTATGACAAAACAGAATGAAAACTATGAACAATTTTGTTGTTTGTTTTATAGATTTTAAAAATGGCTTGTCGTATGCTACATATTTGTAGAGTTGTAAATAATTTGATAAAAATGTTCAATCTGTAAACAATGGTAACGCAAATGAAATATATCATTGTCTCTAAATCATTATATGTAATTAACATATAATATGTATTTAAAATTAATTTATCAATTTAATTCTAATAAAATTATGAAATTTTTTTCAGGTATATATTATTGTTTAATATTGTTTAATTTATTGCTTGTCAGTCATTCACATTTATTAAAAATAGTCACTTTATTAAATAATGTGAGAAACTCTATGTTCTTTGCGAATAGTAAGTAGAACTTTATGGATATAGCATTTTAATAATAGTTTATATTTACAGTAGAAAATAGTTTGTATTTCACTGTGCTTTTGTTCTATAGGACCTGAAGATGAATTATGAAAGGGTGTGACAAGTATCAGTAATGGGCAGGAAGACGCAGAGGTAGAGCAAGAAGAGTAGTGAAAAGAGAGACCTAAATAAGGAGCAAATTATTGGCATGGGAAAAATTCCGATACAATTTCCTGGTCTGAACACTTCTGTGTTTAGAGGAAAAGAATTAATTCAACAGCTAAAACTGCTTGTAAATCTTGAAAGAGAGCAAAAACTTATGGAATTACCACAAAGTCAGACCAGACCAATGCAAGTAAAATTATCGCCATTGGAATGTGGTTGGAGGAGTGTTACAATGGATGGCAGAAACATTGAATCAGATCTTATTGGAAAAGGTTAATATTTATGCTATTACTGGATTATAATGGTTAAATTACACACATACAAAAATCATGTGATACGATGTCTATTTTCAATTTTTTTTTTTGATTTTTCAGTTCTAAATATTAGAATCTTATATAATTAATATCTTTGTTTTCTGCAGATACATTTGAAAGTTTTGAAACCTGCATTTTGGAAAACAAAATGATAACTTGTATGACCAGTAATTTAGCACGTAAGACTAGAATCAATTCATTTATAGTAATTGGGAATGGAAATGGATTGGCTGGATTTGCGTTATCAAAAGCCAAAGCATCCCTAAAGACGATTAAAAATAGGGCTGGTCCAAGATTAATGTATATTCCTATATATAAGGAACACACTGGTAACAAAATACTTGTCAATACTATATAATATAAAATTTATTTCTTCTCTTTTAATATCACTTTGTATTTTTCAGTGTTACATGATTTCTTTACACAGACTTTAATTTGAGAATATAAAAATATTTGTAAAGAAAATTCATGAAGGATAATGGGCTTGTTTGTCACCATGCGATAAAAGAAGCATGTTGTGAGATAATTGGCATAAAGGATATGTATGCCAAAGTACAAGGAGGAATGTAAAAGCATTCTAAACCGTATTGGTTTATTGCAATAGGTGTGAATATAAAGTATTTAAAGGCATATTATACTTTTTATTTAATTTATATTAGAAAGAAACATTTTTTATTTATAAAAATATATATACATATATATATATATATATATATATATATATATATATATATATATTAGACATAAAGCTAAAAAAAACGTGGATTGTGTCGATTAATTAATTAATTGTTTTATTTAATTATCAATTTATATATGTATATTATTAACAATGATTTTTTGTTTACTTAAACTTTATAAGGTTGTACATAAGAAACAATCTTTTTTATTTAGTATTTCAAGCATATTTTCATAGAACTTTAATTTAATTATTATATTATTAAAAATATTGAACAAAATAAAGAATTAAAGCTAGCTTTCTCTGCAGTCTCATGGCAGATTATATCAGTAATCATACTTTAATTATTGCAGTATATCATGAAACAAATCAATCTCAAAATAATAGAAATATTTGCAGAAATATCAACAATTTGCAGATGAAAAATGATAGCATTTAGTCAAAGTTAAATCAGAAAATGGGAATTATCCAGTAGTACTTGTTTCACCAGCGCAAATCAGAAAACCAGAAGTACCGTCAATAAGTCTCTCGATTTTATGCAGTATGTAATGGATAAAAGAATGGTGTTGAAAAAGAAGAAATTACTGCCATTCTTTACTAAATTTCCGTCTTACAAAAGAAAATTGGAATGTTGGATTTGAACGAACGAGAAACTCCGATGAAACGAAAATACAATTGTTAGCGAAATATGAAAAACTGCATTTTTTGACAGAAAAATATCCAGAGGCACAAATATTTTATAAACGAAAACCACGCGAAGATGAAACAATAGAATAAAGAAGCCGTATAATCATTGTACTTTCATGTATAAACGTTTCACAAAATAAAATCTTTATAAATGAAGCGTTACATTAGAAATATTAGTATAAAATTAAATATCCATGTGAGATTTAAAATTTTTTGTCCTTTTTTTTCTTTGGAATTTCTTGTACTTTTTTTCTAAAGATTCTTTAAGCGAGAACTGCTTCTTTCGCAAGACTATTGAACAATTTGAATATTTGATGTTTTTTTAGTAGTCTAAATTTCGTGAAAAAATTCGAGAGAAAATTAGATTTTATCGTATTACTGCACATATCGATTAAATGCTATATCAAATGCTATATGTAGTGTAAATATTTTAATTTTTTTGTATACGATCTATTTTTTATAATTTTTTCGTATACGATCTATTTTTTATTCTATCGATGTTTTCATAGCGATGCACCTTGAGCATTTTACTTCATATATTTGAAATAAAAATATATTAAAGCAAATTATTTTGCAAATTTATTATTCTAATTTTTATTTAGAAAGAATAAGATTTAAAAAGACGTATGAATTTTTTTCAGATTTGTTTACATATTTCTATTGCAAAAAACGCATCAGATAAAACTGACTTTTCTGTACATTTTAAATGTGCCAAAAGATTTGCTCTTTATTCCACTTACTGCAATAATGTACACTAAAAAAGACAGATCTATATTAAAAATGATAGATTAGTAGTATATTTAGTAGTTGGAAAGAAAGAGAGCAGAAATGAAAAGTGCATCTAGAGAATTTAAAAGAATAAAAAACAATTCTAAAAATAATACATAAAGATTAATATTATGTATTTTTTTCATGAGGAATGTGGAGCGCACATTTATGCATTTATTTATTTAGATGAGATTTACTTTAAAGCACATTCAGTATTCAATTTTAATTTTATTTTCTCTTTCTTATGATATATAAGTATAACATAATTACCTGTAAATGCTATCATTTTTGTGTGCTTACAGTGATACAGAAGCAACATTACAAGTACTATATTTACAGATAACATCTGTATAATAAAAAAAGCACCAAAGTCTAATGTTGAAAAAAGGGTAAATATTATAGACCAGCATAAGTATCAATCAATTATTCCATCGCTCGGTTTCATTAGAGTTGCAATTTTCTTTTATAATATCATGAATATTATAAATAAGATAAAGATTTCAGTACGTTTCAAATAAATTTATATATTTTATGTATGTAATACTGCACACACATATTAAAAGGTGATAATATCGCAGTTAATAAGATACAATCCTGGCAATGTAGCGATTTTTGGATTCTGAAAATAATTTAATTTGATTTATTTTTAAGAAATGCGCACAATACTTGAGCAAATTATTTTTGTGCCACGTATTACCTGTGTAAAATTCCACACACAGTATCATATTGTCTGCGGTATATGAAAAGCTTCATCGATGAAATAATGTGATAATACAATTGAGATATAAGCAAAATAATATAGTACTTGTAATGAATAACGTTAATGTAGAATACATAAATATTTTATATTTTAATTTTATGTAATCGAGATGAGATAAGACACTCATGATTACTTTAAAAATGTGTCCACAAATATCATGTAACTTCAATAGCTGCACATTCGTCAAATTAATCTTATTACGTTAAATGAATCACAGCAGCTTGTTTTAATTTAATCTAACCTAACCAATTATATTATATGCTCCTCATTAAAATGTGTAAAACTGTACGTCGCACATTTAATGCGATTAATATACTACGTAATAAAATGTAATACACTAATGAAATAATTAAATATTATTTTTGAAAGCATGATACAATCCAGGCAGCATACGCTTGTATTTACATTCGATATCCAAAGACACTGAAAGATTAGGTTAGGTTAGGTTAGGTTAGATCAAACAAATTTATCGTTTAACAGTTGGCAGCCCTACGTGATAGGCTGTGCAGCACTGCGCGCGCGTACAAAATAAATTTGAAATCGCTTGTAGCATAACCGTCTTCACGCGATTGACTTTATTTGAATTGCACGGAATCGAATTATGATGCGGCGCCGATTTGTCCGAATGTAATTCGGGATATCGCGATGCTGTATAAGCGTCGAATGAGCACGAATTGATATGACGCAAATATGATAAATCAAATCTACTCACCGGCTGTTCCACAGACCGCTCCTCCTCGGGACAGTTCGCTCGCCGCGGGACGACCAATTCCGATCTTGATGCACACAAACTCACACGATATCATCAACGCGAACGCGCGACACTTTATTCGGCACTCCCGATACTCGCTCGCATCCGATAATCATCATCAAGGGCGCGAATAACGCGACGCAATTTCGCTCCATCTTCGCGATGACGCCCTCACTGAATATCGTCAAAAATCGCTGTCGCGCGTTTCCATCGACACACTATAAAAGTCGCGCGATCATCCTTGGACACTTTCGACGCTCGTTCACTCGCGATATTCGTTTAAAAACGGTTAAAAGATGCGAAAAATGCGGACGTACGACGATCCGTGTAACTGCGTATGACTCCGATTCACGCGAAAACATGGCGGCCGTATGACGCGTTTGACGTAGCAGTGACGTCGCAGTGACGACTCAGTCACGCGCCAACATGGCGACCGAATCAGTGCGCATTCGTTTCTGCGCATGGCCATTCCAGCGCCCAACTTTGATTTCTGAATATTGTCTACGGCTTTAATTAATAGCACATAATGATAAATATATAAAGATGGAATCAATTAATCATATTGGTCATATATGTAGACTTGCCCGAATAAATAGAGAAAAAATTGAGAGATATTTTTAATTTCTTTTTCTTTTAGTAAAGGATGGAAATGTCTATTCATAGGCTTGTTCTTTTTTTCCTCTTTCGCGCAATTTCGATTCAATATATAACGTAGAAAATTCATAGTATATTATGCTAATGATATGAATTACGAATGATTCGATTGTTTTATCGCGCTTTTCCAAAGTCAAATCTTATAATATTTACTTTTGCATTTTAAAAGACTGAGAGTCAACTAAATAAATAAATAAATAAATAAATGATGTTGAGAAAAAAAAGAAGACTCATAAATAAATAAATATATAAATATATAATAAAGATTGATATTAATATATACCATACGAACTTGTACGATCTCAAAATCTTTATCTTTTATTCCGTTACTCGAATACTTGTACGTTAACAGATTTAGGTTACACACATTGCATAAAGCTTCGATATTTTGCAATCTTACCTCATCTCAATTTGGAGAAGCACGTGCATTCCTTTCGATAAATGTCCGCACAAAAATATATCGTGCATCAAATAAATAAAAGTCATTCGATACTGTGCACGATTCTAATCGTACGAAATATATTCGACGATTTTTTTTGGATCACTGTATTATCGGAACGTGCGATCAGAACGATTCGAAAACGATGAATATACAGAGTTTGAAGAAAGATCCAATGCACGACAAATTATACTTGCGTTGATTAGTATTCATCAACACCGAAATGTTAATCGCGAATACGTGTACAACACTTCCATATATTTTTTTCGTAAAGGACGATATACGAAATGCAATATTTCGCGCCTCGCCTTTCACACAATGCGGCCATCTTTTTTGCTGTTTAGTATCGCCATCTGCATTTGCGTTAAACGTCAGAATTACGTAGTTAGGATAATTCGACTGCCAGTAAAGTCATTTAGTGCATGTCGGTAAATAGAATAATCACTTCGCGCAAGCATGATTTTTTTATTTGTAGTATAATAAAATATGTAATTAAAAATTCATGTAAGAAACGAATTTTTAATCAAATTACATATACTTATTCCGTTACTCTAATACTTGTACGTTAACAGATTTAACTTACACACATTGCATAAAGCTTCCAGAGAAAAGTATCCAGAGGCACAAATATTTTATAAACGAAAACCATGCGAGGATGAAACAATAGATTAAAGAAGCCGTATAATCATTCTACTTTTATGTATAAACGTTTCACAAAATAAAATCTATATAAATGAAGTGTTACATTAAAAATATTAGTATAAAATTAAATATCCATGTCAGATTAAAAATTTTTTGTCCTTTTTTTTCTTTAGAATTTTTTTATTTTTTTTTTCTAAAGATTCTTTAAGCGAGAACTGCTTCTTTCGCAAGACTATTGAACAATTTGAATATTTGATATTTTTCTAGTAGTTTAAATTTCGTGAAAAAATTCGAGAGAAAATTAGATTTTATTGTATTACTGCACATATCGATTAAATGCTATATCAAATATGTAGTGTAAATATTTTAATTATTTTGTATACGATCTACTTTTTATTCTATCTATGTTTTCATAGTGATGCACCTTGAGCACTTTGCTTCATATGTTTGCAATAAAAATATATTAAAGCAAATTATTTTGTAAATTTATTATTCTAATTTTTATTTAGAAAGATTAAGATTAAAAAAGACGTATGAATTTTTTCAGATATTTCTATTGAAAAAAACGCATCAGATAAAACTGACTTTCCTGTACATTCTAAATGTGCCAAAAGATTTGCTCTTTATTCCACTTACTGCAATAATGTACACTAAAAATGACAGATCTATATTAAAAATGATAGATCTATATTTAGTAGTTGAAAAGAAAGAGAGGAGAAATGAACAGTGTATCTAGAGAATTTAAAAGAATAAAAAACAAATCTAAAAATAATAATACATAAAGATTAATATTATGTATTTTTTTCATGAGGAATGTGGGGCGCACATTTATGCATTTATTTATTTAGATGAGATTTACTTTAGAGCACATTCAGTATTCAACTTTTATTTTATTTTCTCTTTCTTACGATATATAAGTATAACATAATTACCTGCAATTAACCAATCAACCAATTATTCCACCGCTCTGTTTCATTACAGTTGCAATTTTCTTTTATAATATCACGAATATTATAAATAAGATAAAGATTTCAGTACGTTTCAAATAAATTTATATATTTTATGTATGTAATACTGCGCACACATATTAAAAGGTGATAATATCGCAGTTATAATAAGATACAATCCTGGCAATGTAGCGA